GCCCCTCCCCCCCCCCCCCCCCCCAACCAAGTGGTGCCTCTGAACAAGGTACCCCCAAAATACTAGGAATTCCTGGTATCTCTCCAAGTGTCCTGGCATGGGGGCTCTCACAGACTGTCTTGTTCTAGATTCCGGGTCATCATGACTACGCTAATCAACGTGGTGCCGACAATGCTGACCTTTGGTGAGCTGGTTCTGGTAAGCACACTGTGCACTAGGGCTGAAGTGCCACGTGACCCTGCAACAAGGTACCCCCAAAATACTAGGAATTCCTGGTATCTCTCCAAGTGTCCTGGCATGGGGGCTCTCACAGACTGTCTTGTTCTAGATTCCGGGTCATCATGACTACGCTAATCAACGTGGTGCCGACAATGCTGACCTTTGGTGAGCTGGTTCTGGTAAGCACACTGTGCACTAGGGCTGAAGTGCCACGTGACCCTGCTCTCCTTTAGCTTCAAAAGGTGAACGATAAAGCTTCAGCGTGGTCATGCTCTGGGCACGATCAAGGCTGTATCCATCGAGCTGATGTGTAGGGGTAAAATCAAGTTCTGCCTAGCTATCTAGGCAGGATACTCTGCTCGCTGCTGCTGTGCTATGCAAAACCTTGAATTCTAATCTGGGCAAGTAACTAACACAAACTCATAATTCCACCCTTACCTCCCCAAAAATCTCCTGACTAAATTGGAAATACCCAATGTGGTCAACTTTGATTCCAGTTCAAAATTCGTCTCCCTCCGAGCTTAGTTTATTTTTAAACCTTGCATGGAATCAGTACTTCCTGGACTGTCTCTGGGTACATCCACACTGCACAGCTATGTCGGGATACCGGCGGTATCTGAAATAGCTACCCCACGTTTACACAAGCTGCTGGTTATTTTGAAATATATATATATATTTTTAATAACACGTGCGCTATTTTGCCATCCTGGTATCCCTCATTGCACGAGGGATAAGAGATGGCTCAAAAGGGCATGTTATTTTGAAAATTGCAGCTGTGTAAAAGCTTATTTTGAAGTTTGGTGCAACTTCAAAATAGATTCAAGATACGCAATTTGCATAGTACAAATTACGTATCTTATTTCGAGTTTAGGGTAGTGTGTAGATGCACCCTCTGTTATCTAGTACCAGCCAGTTTCCAAAGGCATCTCAGAGAGAAGCCACAGTTGGATCAGGAGGCCTTGTATTTAGGTACACAATCTAGAATGTAAGAACGGCCACGCTGGGTCAAACCAAAGGTCCATCTATCCCACTGGCCAATGCCAGATGCCCCAGAGGGAGTGAACAGAACAGGTAATCCTCCCATGATCCCTCCCCTGTCATCCATTTCCAGACAAACAGGCTACGGATGCCATTCCTACCCATCCTGGCTAATAGCCATTGATGGACCTAACCTCTATGAATCTGTCTAGCTCTTTTTTGAACCCTGTTGATGTTGTGAAGACCAGGACTTCCTATGGCAAGGAGTTCCACAGGTTGCACAGTCTGGGATGTGCATTGGGGAATTCCTTGACGTGTTAGTACTGCGCTGGGTGAAGTGAGTGGGTGGGTCTCTCTCCTGCTCCATTCTATGGAAGTGAGTGGGTGGGTGTCTCTGTCTCTCTCTCTCTCTTCCCCTCTAGGTGGTGTACTACATGTTTGCTATCATTGGCATGGAACTGTTCCAGGGGAAAATCCAATTCTTTAACATGAACTCCACTGCTCCTCTCGCCCTGGTGTGCGGAAACCCTGCCTTAAAAGATTCACAGTTTGCCCAAGGGAAGTATTGCGTGAACAACTTCAATGACCTCCTGTCTTCCTTCATTGTCCTGACCGAGCTAACAGTCGTCAATCAGTGGCACAATATCCTTTCTGTATCGGTAACACGGGGTCCCCTCCAGAGCCTGCTGAAGTCAGCACGAAGGCACCTGGCCCGCTGACTTCAATGGGGCCAAATGCAATCTGAAGTCCCTTTGGAGAAAGCTTTCGCTAGGCAGGGTCGGCAAGCGAGGCTCAAATGTGTCGTCTCCTCTTGCCTTTCCCAAGCAGTGTGGTCCCAGTGTGGAGATGTTCCCTGTCGGCCTTAGTCCTTAACTTGATACCTCTTGCCAATGGATTTGTTTTGGTCACTCACCAGGCTGCCAAGCTGTATTTCATGGCCTTCCACATCGTGGTGGTGATCATGATCGTGAAGTAAGTTCAGGGAGAATTCCCTCTGTTTGGGGGCGGGGCAGCAAGAGGTTCAGAGACGAGGCTGTTCTCTGCCGCCTCCTCCCTCCTCAGTGCCAAGCCATGGAGACACCTTGGGCAAACAGCGACCGCTATCTACCGCATTTGGGGCGGGGGGAGGGCGCCCCCAGACTTGTACAGAGAGGCCAGGAATTCTAGTCTGCTACGGCAGGTGCCCGTTAATAACGTGAGGGCTGGTTCTGCAAAACCATTGGGCATATTACTAATAAAATGCAGGATTATGCAAGCTGCATCTTTCCTCCCTCCCCTACCCCAGTATTTTCACAGCATTTATCCTAGAAGCTTTCTATGTGGAGTACTCGCTAGAAAAGAGTGACGTGGAAAGTGCCATTGAGAGGAAGATTCAAGAGCTGGGAGTAGGAATCCAAGAGTAAGTGAACTGCAGTACTAGAATTGGTACTTTGTGGGTGGGGCTCTCAGCACACCCAGTTGCCAATGGGAAGTGTGATCAGATTATCCTTAGTGGTGCGCAGCCAAGAGATACAGGAGATGTAGGTATTGGCTCCAGGTTTCCAGTATCTCCTGGGCGAGTCCGGTTCCATTTTCTATCCTCTCCATGGTAGTGATCCAACATCTTAGGAAAGATGGGTCGGATCTCTTCCCTGTATTCGGGCTCTCCGCTTTCTCTCCCATTTCCGTCCCCTGCTGCGCGCACACATGCTGCCTGCCTCTGGCAGAGAGGGGCATTGGGGGAGCTATGTTAGTGGTGACATCCACACAACAGGGCCTCTGGCTGCTCGGGGTGGTCCCGTTTCCCTCCTTCGATCGGCTGAGTGGCTGCAGTGGGCACCTGGGGCCTGACCCGGACTCTGATCCGAAGGTGCCATGTTAGTTCCTTTAGACTTTAGGCCAGAACGAGGCCTGAGCAGAGGAGTTCAAGGACCGGTACCTGACTCGATCAGTCAGGGGCTCTCGGCTGAAGTGAGACACTCCCCCCCCCCCCCACCCCCCC